TGGCCTGATCAGTTAAATTATATTCTATGGACTTACAGGACCACACCCCGAACGGCCACGGTAGAAACTCCATTTGCCCTTGCATATGGTTTTCAGGCCAAAGTACCAACGGAGATCCTAGTTCCCACACACCGAACGGTGCATTACAGCCCGGAACAGAATGAAGACAACTTACGGGCCGAATTGCATTTCATAGAAGAAAGAAGGGATCTGGCAGCTGCACGAATGGAAGAGTATCACAGAGCCACAAGAAGATACTTTGATAAGCAAGTTAAAATTCGTTCAATCGAGGTAGGGGACCTGGTGCTAAGAAAGCGAGAAAAAAGCAAACCGCTCGAAGGTGGAAAAATGGCACAAAATTGGGAAGGCCCCTACCAAATATGTAAGAAGTATGCTTCAGGAAGGTTTGGCCTACAAAATACCGAAGGCCGACCGGCAGGAACTTGGAATGTGGAGCATCTAAAGAAATTTTATCAGTAAAAACGGTTGTTGCCACCTCTAAAAAAATGTATAGAGAGGGAGACAACTTCCACAAAAACTCAGCCCATGATTGACTCGATCATTCCGGATGACCGAATGACGAACGGGTTAACAACATGGAAGGAAAATCAATTCTCAGCTTAGGGAGTTTTAGACCCTAGATTTATGAAGGAATAAAGGGATCAAAAACGGCTTGAAGAGTTGAGGCTCAGAAAATCGGTGCCCGTGGTTAACTCAATCATTCCGGATGACCGAATGACGAACGAGTTAACAGCATGGAAGGAAAGTCATTCTCAGCCAACGGCTTGGAGTTTGACGCTCAGATAGTCTCACCTCAGCGGTTAATATGAGAATCGATTCTGGAAAACCGAATGACGAACATATTAGCAGTTTGGAGGGAGCCATTATTTCAGCAATAGTTTTGACCCTGTAATTACGCATTGATGAAGGGATCAAAATGGCCTGGAGTTCGAGGACAGTGATTCTCACCTCAGCTTTTTAACACGCAAAATCATTCCGGATGACCGAATGACGAACGGGTTAACAGTTTGGAGGGGGCTGAGTCGTCAACTTAGCCAAAGTCGACCTTGTAATTACGTACGGGCAAAGGGATCAAAACGGCTTGGAGATGGTGTCAAGACTGTAAGATATGGATTAACCGAGCGACGTTCGGATAAGGTACGGATTGTCGTCCGGGGAATCGGAACTATGGTTTTGAAAAAGCTCGCCTCAGTCATGAACTTGATTCGGAAACGAGTCGCCCTTTTAGCTAGAAGTAAGGAATGACCCAATTCGGTGATCTTGCTTATAGTTCGAAAAGGGTTACCTCAGGCCCCTAATATGGATGATACGAGCCAGAGAGAATAGTTCGGAATGCATCGGAATTATGGGTTTGGAAGGGAGATAGTCTCACCTCAGCTTGTTAACGTGTGGAATCATTCTGGATGACCGAATGACGAACGGGTTAACAGTTTGGAGGGAGCCCCTATCCCAGCCGAGAGTTTGACCATGTGGTCACGATCAAAACGGCTTGGAGGAATTCACCTCAGCTAAGAGTTTTGAACTCGTGCGTCACGAACGGAAAAAGGGATCAAAACGGGTTCGGGAAAGGTGTCAGAACAATTGTGAAGAGAGTCTCATCTCAGCTTGTTAACACGTGAAATCATTCCGGATGACCGAATGTCGAACGGGTTAACAGTTTGGAGGGAGCCCCTATCCCAGCTGAGAGTTTGACCCTGTGGTCACGATCAAAACGGCTTGGAGGAATTCACCTCAGCTAAGAGTTTTGAACCCGTGCGTCACGAACGGAAAAGGGATCAAAACGGGTTCGGGAAAGGTGTCAGACATAAAGATACATGAGCCGAGTGAGGTTCGGCCACATAGAAAAGATTGTGAACAAAAAATCAAAGGAAGAATAGAAAAAAGACAACAGATAAAGGAAAGAAGTCCAGTTTATTCTTCGGCATTACTAGTCGGAATATACAAGAAGAATGAATAAGCAAAATTTACAGTAAGACTATACTACTGGAGGATTGCCGTTCGGGGAGGATTGAGGCTGAGAGCTCCCTGCCTGCACTGCATCATCAGGCACTGCTTTGGATCTTTTCTCCATGATGCGATCATATGTGTTCCCGAACAGATCGTCGAAGCCTAATTCATCAGGATCGAACGGCTTGGGGAAATGCTCTAGGATCAGCTCAAGATTCCTGTCCAGAAGCAGGTCCTGACTTTGCTTCACAGTTTTCTCGGTCAGGACATCCAAGAAAGATTTCCCTTCCGGCGTGCTATCCAGGAGGTCGGTCCCTGCCTTGATGGGATCTGAGCTCTCACACAAAAATTGGCCAAGGTGAGGACCTAGGAATTGCCGGGCCGTGTTCTCCAGAGCGACGTTCAGCCCCTTGCCCAGTTGAAAATCCACTATTGATTGATGAGCAATCTGGGAAGTATTGACCGTGTAAGGTTCGGGCAGATGGTCGCCAACAGCTTTATCAAATTTGATACCAGCAGATTCAGCAGCCCGCACCTTGGCCCGGAGTTCTTTAAGCTCCCGATCGCGACGACGGGACTTCTCCTGCATCTCAGCCAGAGCAGCTTTTGCCTTCTCACCCTCCTTGGCCTGCTCTTGGAGATCGGCCGCTAACTTCCGAGCGGCAGAAAGGAGGACCTGGCCGTCATCCCGATCGCTGGCCAGGGCTTTCATTTCCTTCTCAGCTGCAAGAAAGGCCTTGTGATAATACACGCCAGCCTGAAAACGAGATTACAATGAAAGTCAGATAAGGTAAAACATGAATAGTAGAAAGGCATGGATCTGAATGAGGTGTACCTTGAGTGCTTCCTGGTGACCTGCTTCGAAAAGATCCGACCAGTGAGTCAAGTTGGTGAAGCTCGGGGGAACTTTGATCGCAGTGTGACACCACATAGAAGATGGCATCAGCCCGAACAGATACCTCCCCTCTGATCTGGGCCCCATATTTGAAAATTCAACAAACATCCGATCATCGATCGGTGTGTCAGTAAGAACCGGAGTTGAGGTTTTGGCAGGTACCGATCTTTTGGGTTCAACCTCCGGACCGGTCAAATCAACCACATGGTCGATCGGAGTCAGTTGATCGCCATCATTCCCTTTGCGCTTCTTACGGGTTTGCTCCACCGAGTCACGATCGGCTATCATCTTCTCCTTTCCTTTACCGGAAGAAGCCGTCAAGGTGGCAGAAGAGATAGAGCGCTGGACGGGTATGGGAGATATTACACCTACAAGAAAGAAGAATAAAAAATAAGAAGCTGATTTGTGAGAATGAAGGATGGTCGGGTTAAAATCTTACTACGCTTACCGATTCTAGCAGATAACATGCTCGAAGTAGTGACAAAGCTCCGAAGACTTCGGGTCCCTCCCATCCGCAAAGACTCAGCTTGGGAGCGTAAAACGGCGTCCACCCTGGGCTGAGAATCCCGAACGGGGTATGCGTTCCACCTATCCGGGAATGACAGAGAATCACCTACCCGAACGAACAAAAACCGCTCCTCCCAGTCAGCCTGCAGGGTAACATTCTCTGTGAACAGCTGACGATCAGAACGAGCTACCAGTTTCAGGTACCCGGTCGTCCAGTAAGGTTGATAGCAGTAATGGTGAAAGAACAGATCGACGCTTGGAGTGATCCTCAACTCATGGCATCGAATGATGAAGCCTGTCAGAATGCGGTAAGTGTTGGGCACGAACTGAGCGGGCAGTACAGCAACCCGGCGTAAGAACTCCACTATGAATGAATGGAGAGGGAACCGAAGCCCAGCAGTCAGAGCATCAAGATGCACTAGCACGTGCCCCGATCGGTGCCTCATCGGGTGCCGAATGAATCCGGCGTAGTATTCCCTTGGTGGGGGCAACAACTGGCTAAGTTGCCGTTCGACATCTTCTGGAAGACGTTGTCTTTGTTTGCGTATGCGAGTGAAGTGTAGGGGAATGCGGGGTGGCCGCTCGGGCATCCCCTTGTTATAAACTTGGAGGTCATCTCCGGACTGACATCCGTCATCCTGTGGCTGTTCGGTATGTTTGCTGGCCTGAGGATTGGCGGGTTTAGGTGTTTGGGACGAAGAGCCTTCGGCCTTGTTACCAGCAGATGTTTTGCTTGTGCGAATCAGAGGCATCTCTTCAGATTCTGAGCTAGAGGGGTAGTACATAAAAACGCTGGAGGAACTCTGGGAATTCTAGAGAGAGAAGGCTTGAGAGTATGCAAGAGAAATCTGGGAATTCTAGAGAGAGAAAGCTCGAAAGAAAAGTGAGAAAACAGCAGGAGAAATTAGGGGAAGCACCTCTCTATAAATAGGGAAAGTGCCGCACAAATCCCTAATCCATGAGCAACACGTGGCATAGGGTGGTTACGATTAATCTGAGGCATTTATGATTCATTTTTTGTGCACGTACCCCGGACGGGCTTACAGAGGATTAGCAAAGATCACAGGGACTTGCTGTTTAGAAAAACTGCTAAGTCCTAAAAAGTAACCTGAAGCCCGACCGGCTATCAATGTTGTAAAATGTTATCTGAAATCAAACGGCTAAGTCCTAAAATTTGATCTGAAGCCCGAACGGCTACCAACTTATGAAGAAGCCCAGGTGCGAAGAAAACCAAGAAAACAGCTGTCCCAAGAACTGATCTGAAGCCCGAACGGCTACCAACTTATGAAGAAGCCCAGGTGCGAAGAAAACCAAGAAAACAGCTGTCCTAAGAGAACAGCCCGAACGTCTATCAATGTTGTAAAAGATTATCTAAAGCCAGAATGTGCTAAGTCCTAAAAAATGGTCTGAAGCCCGAACGGCTGAGTCCCAGAGAGAAGGGGTTTTTTCCTTAACAAATTATCAGAACCTTCTAATGCCCGAACGGCGATCAACGGCATTAGGAGTATTTGAGCAAGAGATAAAGTCAGTAAATTAGTTGTCCTACAAAACGGGCCGAATCCCGAATGGCGAGTAAATCATGCAATAAAGACAGAAAAGACAGTACACAAAGCTTCATGCAAAAAAGGGATATATATTCATCGGTTCTACTGACCGGGAAGTACAAGCTACTTAGACAAAGGAAAATTACAACAAGTAATTAAAAAGTACATATAAATTATTGGCCAGGGGCCATTTCATCTCCCTCTTCGTCCTCGTCCTCATCAACATCAGACGAGGGTTCAGGCTCCCTCCCAGCAGCCCGATCAGCTTCCCGTTGCTGAGCTCGCAGAAATTTCTCGAACTGAGCCTGTATAATGTCATCTTTGGGAAGATCAGAAGCCTGAACCGGCCTCCCCAGATTATTTTGAAGCTGAGCAACGAAGGGACGCAGCAAGACCTGGCCAATTTTGCCTTAAAGGTCTGTGACAATGGAGTCGTTCCATTTTTTGGCCTCGGGATCCTTGTCCAAGAGGGCCACCCCTGCCGATAGCCGACCAGCACCTTTGGGGAAACCCTTCAAGTACGCCCCAAAGGCGAACGGGATTTGGGTCCTTGCGTGATCATCCTTGATGATGGAGAATTCATCAGAGGATTTGAATGTTTCCCGGACGGCGGACAGATCCACGTTCACTTCATAGGGACCGTCCGGGATGCTGGATGGCATTTCTTCAAACTTGACCTGTGCGGCCTCAGCGGCAAGGACTTTAGCCTGGGAAGCTGCAAGTTGAACCCGAAGGGTACCAAGTTCGGCATCCAGCCTCTGTTTCTCCTCCGCAAAGGCCTTCCGTTCGGCCTCCAGAGAGGTGATGGCGGCAGCATCATTTTGCTCAGCAGAAGACTGGGCAACAATCAGTTCCCGTTCCTTGGCCAGACGGGCTTCCCGCATTTGAAGGGTGTACAAACCCATCTACAGAGCACCGTTCGAGAGTTAGTGATGATTACAGAGAATAAAATAAAAACAAAGCGCAAAAGATATAATGTACCTTCTGAGCGGTCAAGGCCAGACATTCTTCAGATTGCTCGACCGGCAACTGAGGAAGGGAAAAATTGTTGAACCAAGAGGAGGTCGACCAGATCTGGCTCGCGGTAGAACCAGCCCTTTCTAATACCTCATGGACAGGATCAGATAAGGAGATCCGCTCGACCTGACCGGTAATATGGTCGGTGTGGGTCTCACCTGCATTCGAGGGTTCCCCCCGAACGGAGTCAAAGTGCTGGGAGAATTGATGCAGTTGGTCAGAGCCGAACCGATCGTCGACCAGCATGGCCTCGAATTGGTCCTGATGGACCTGTTGTATTGGCTCTGGAAGCGGTTGAGAAGAGGCAGCATCCAGAGCAGGAATAATGGAGGGAGTAGGTTGGGGGTTCTTCCTGGATTTTTTCCGTTTACCGGCCCCACCGGTTGCGATAACTCTGTTGTCATCCATAGGTAGATCTGGGTTTGGTGCTGAAAAAAGACAAAGGACAATGTTAGTATCGAGCGGCCTTAGCGTGTGAGAAACTAGAAAAAAGAACAAAAGAACGTTTCTCGCACGGGAAGGACCGCCCGGACTGTCACGCCCCGGACCTATCCGGACACGTCAACAACCCGCCGTACAGTATGAATAGTCAACTGCAGTCCGACTCATCCATACTATACAAGGCGTCTTGAATACCATTCACACATAGTACATCCATAAGCAAACATAATGTAAAACATTTATTAAAACAGCGGAAACAATTGATACAAGTGTTCAAGCCACACTTGGCATAATTAGGCATGCAAGCCCCCAAAGTAATTATTCAGAAAATATTATCCATGAGCATTATTCATATTGTTTTTTCAAAACAAGAACGGGAGAAGCACGAACCAAGTCTTCTCCTCAGAAACCTCCCGAAGCAGCGGCTGGTGGTAGCAACCTTCAAGTTCTACCTGAAACTGTGAGGTGGCCTCCCCCGTGAAGGGGAGGTCAGTACTTGGAAGCATTTGACAAGTACAATGACAACTATACTAAGTATAATCAAAGTTTAAATCTCTGAGGCCCTCAACTAGGGCATTATTACATTATAGTTAATCCGTTCATTTAATATCAATTCATCATTTTTTATCACGGTCTAGAGCCCAGCTCATAATCACCGTTGTCTACTACGGTCTAGAGCCCAGCTCATAATCACCGTCATCTACTACGGTCTAGAGCCCAGCTCATAATCACCGTCATCTACTACGGTCTAGAGCCCAGCTCATAATCACCGTCATCTACTACGGTCTAGAGCCCAGCTCATAATCACCGTCATCTACTACGGTCTAGAGCCCAGCTCATAATCACCGTCATCTACATCGGTCTTGAGCCCGGCTCATAATCACCGATTCCTTATAATTCAAATTCTTAGGATCTAATTCATCCATTTCTCAACTAACATTTCCAACTAATATTTCAATGCTAGTTATTTATTTATTTCAATATAATTCCTTCTTCTTGCATAATTGGCCTTAATATCAAGTATCACTTTCATACCTTCATGGCTTCTCCTCATGGCATCAAAGTATAATATCCCAAATGATATTCATGGTTGGCACAACCATCATACACACATATTCATAACATCTAAACATACACAATTTATTCATAAATTTGTGTATCATGCATACTATAATTTTAATCAATAGTAGTTCTATTTATGCATCATTAACCATCAACAATTCATGCACATCACATTTATATTCACTTAGGAAGTCCCATGAAATTAACCCAAAGATTATAAGTATCATAGTCGGTCATCCTCACCTTAATTAAGCTTAAGCGCGTTCTACGTTTCTCGATTGAACTTTGACCAATTCCGGCGAACTTTGACCAACTCCGGCGAACTTTGACCAACTCCGACGAAACTCCGGAGAGGCTCAAAAATACTTTAAATCAGGTTCCTAACAAGGTTTTATCATCACAAAACCCATATCAACACAAATAACCTATAAAAGGTTATTTTCCGGCAAACTGGTCGATTTGGCTTCTAAGTCCGTTTTTGGACTTAGAATCACCTTCCAACCCATTATTCCACACTTAAATCATGTAGAACAATACTAAAAGTCTTTCATATGATATATATCTTATATGCTAGAAGAAAAACAAAGAAAAAGTTATGATAAGGTCATTACCTTAATTTTCACACTTTTTCCTAGCTTTTTCCTTCTTAAACTTTCTTCTTGGACTCCCTTGAGCTTGAGTTCGGATTTGGGGCTATGGAGATGAAGTTGCAGAGGTTCTTTCCTCCTTTCCCTTGCTGCTGGCCGAACTAATGAGGAGGGGATGGGTAGGAATGCCCCTTTTGTCTCCTTTTGGGCAATGAGTGAAAGGGAGGGGGTCTACAACATGTCAAAGGTGTCTCCCCCATCCTCTCAATTGTTGTTCAGCCAATTTGGCACTCATCCAGCCCTCAAGGGTTGACAATTTCGTGGGGTGGCCCCCACCCATGTGGGAGGTCATCCTAATTTGTCCCAAAGTGTGCAATTTGCCCCGAAAGTTGTATTTTCCGGACTGTTTTAAGTATATTTTATTTTATCGGGTCAAATATAATATAACACTTGTTCCCAATTCCTAATGGACCTTAGAATCAATATGCATCCCTCAACTTTAATTTAGAAGTCTCTGAAATCCCTTTTCGGGCTGTTATCTGATAGATTTCCGATACTGATAATTTGGCCCCGTTTGACCAACCGGTCAACCCTATGCCATTGTCATGGCTCAACTAGGATATCCACCACCATATACATATTATCTAGTCCAAGATCAATATAATATGTGGCCCCGATAATATCGGGCGGTCCCCACTCCCGATGTGGGCCCCACGTGCAATTTACTATTCACGCGAAAAATATTATACAAATTCACAACTTCGTAAATTTAATAAAAACTTCATAAGGTTCAATAAATTATTCGCTTAAAGGTAAATACATTTGGGGACGGTGTTACAAGTTCACCCCCCCTTATTTGGGATTTCGTCCCCGAAATCTACGTGTCTAATCGAAAAGGAAAGGGTACTGCTCCCTCATTGAGACCTCAGTCTCCCAGGTTTCTTCTTCGACTCGATCACTCCTCCAAAGGACCTTTACCATAGGAATCTCCTTGTTCCTTAGTTTCTTTACCTGTTGACCCACAATCTCCACCGGTTCCACCGCATATTGTAGGTCTTCACGTATCTCTACTGGTGGTTTCTCAAGGATATGAGACGGATCTCGCACATATTTCTTGAGCATCGATACATGAAACACGTCGTGTATCTTCTCAAGTTCTGGCGTCAATTTGATACGGTAAGCCACGGCCCCTATCCTTTCAAGGATTTCAAATGGGCCAATGTATCGGGGGTTAAGTTTTCCCCTTGATATGAACCTGATGATACCTTTCCAAGGAGAAATCCTTAGAAAGACCTTATCGCCGACCTCAAACTCCAATGGCCTGCGTCTTTTGTCAGCATAACTCTTTTGCCGATCTTGGGCAGCCTTGAGTCTATCCTGAATGACCTTCACCTTAGCCTTGGTGATTTCGACAAGTTCAATCCCCTCGAGCTTGGCTTCGCCAACTTCGTCCCAACACAACGGTGTTCTACATTTCCTCCCATACAATGCCTCGTATGGAGGCATGCCAATACTCGCCTGATAACTGTTGTTATAGGCAAACTCAACCAGAGCCAAATGCTTGTCCCAACTCCCTTGGAACTCCAGAGCACATGCCCTAAGCATATCTTCCAAAATCTGGATCACCCTCTCGGATTGCCCATCCGTCTGTGGGTGAAAGGTTGTGCTAAACTTTAGCTTCGTACCCAAGGATGCTTAAAATTTTGGCCAAAATCGGGATGTGAAACGTGGGTCCCTATCCGAGACAATGGATATCGGAACTCCATGCAGTCTCACAATCTCCTCCGTGTATAGCTTTGCCAATCATTCAAGAGGATAAGTAATGTTGATAGGCAAAAAGTGTGCACTCTTGGTGAGCCTATCAACCACTACCCATACTGCATCATAGTTGTTCACTGTTCGTGGCAGCCCCACCACGAAGTCCATGGTCACGTGCTCCCACTTCCATTCTGGAATGGTAAGTGGTTGCAAAAGTCCCGCCGGGTGTTGATGCTCCGCCTTGACTTGTTGGCAAGTAAGGCACCGACTCACGTACTCTGCGATGTCCCTCTTCATACCCGACCACCAGTAACTTTCCTTCAAGTCTCGGTACATTTTAGTACCTCCTGGATGCATGGCATACGCCGAAGAATGAGCCTCCTCCAGTATAGACTTTTGGAGCTCCTCGTTCCTTGGTATGCATACACGGCCTTTAAACAATAAAAGACCGTCATCACGTACCCGAAAGTTCTCAACAGGTCCCTCAAGGATCTGTTCACGGATCTTCTGACATTCTTCATCAATGGCCTGACATCTACTGATCTCACTCAGCAATGTAGGCCTAACATCGAATCTAGCAATGAGGACCCCACTCGTGGACACCTCCACTTGTGCCCTTAGTGAGCGTAGACACGTGAGTAACGTCCCCGATGTACTCTTCCTGCTCAGTGCATCGGCTACTACATTGGCCTTCCCGGGATGATAGTCGATGATCAAGTCATAGTCCTTGATCAACTCCATCCATCTCCTTTGTCTCATATTCAACTCTTTTTGAGTGAATACATACTTCAAGCTTTTATGATCGGTGAAAATGTGACATGTCTCCCCATAGAGATAATGCCTCCAGATCTTCAGTGCAAACACTACCGCTCCCAACTCTAGATCATGGGTACGGTAGTTTGCCTCGTGTTTCTTCAATTGCCTTGAAGCGTAGGCAATCACCCGACCGTTTTGCATTAGAACACATCCAAGCCCTTGGATGCTAGCGTCACTGTATATGTTGTACCCTATCCCTTGTGTGGGTAGAGTGAGGACTGGTGCTTCTGTAAGCCGTTTCTTTAGTTCGAGAAACCCTTTCTCACAATTGTCGTCCCATATGAACTTGGCCCCTTTCTTTGTGAGCTTTGTCAAAGGAGACGCCAATACAGAAAATTTTTCAACAAACTTACGATAATATCCTGCCAAACCGAGGAAACTGCGTATTTCTTTCACGTTCTTGGGTCTCTCCCAATTCATAATGGCTTCTATCTTGGCTTTATCCACCGCAATGCCCGAACCTGACACGACATGCCCGAGGAATCCGATCTCTTTGAGCCAAAACTCGCATTTAGAGAACTTGGCAAAGAGTTGTTTTTTCCTTAGCCGTTCAAGTACAAGTCTCAAATGATTTTCATGCTCCCCCTCACTCTTGGAGTATATCAAAATATCGTCAATGAATACTATCACGAATTGATCTAAGTATTCACTGAACACACGGTTCATCATGTCCATGAATGCCGCCGGGGCGTTGGTTAGCCCGAACGACATGACTAGGAACTCGAAATGACCATACCTTGTGCGGAATGCACTCTTCGGTATGTCATCTTCCTTTATTTTCAGTTGGTGGTACCCCGACCTCAAGTCGATCTTCGAAAACACCGTCGCCCCTCGGAGCTGATCAAACAAGTCATCAATCCTAGGCAAGGGATACCTATTCTTGATTGTGACCTTGTTCGGTTGACGATAGTCAATGCACATACGAAGTGTTCCATCTTTCTTCTTCACGAAAAGGACCGGTGCTCCCCACGGAGAGTGACTCGGCCTTATGAAACCGTTATCCAATAGCTCCTGCAATTGGGTTTTCAACTCGTTAAGTTCAGCGGGTGCCATTCTGTATGGCGGTATAGAGATTGGTTTGGTGCCGGGTTCGACCTCGATCACGAACTCAATCTCCCTATCGGGTGGAAGTCCCGGCAAGTCTTTTGGGAAGACATCCGGATACTTGCACACAACTCTCACATCATTGATGCCTATCTCTTCTTTGGTTTTGTCCACCACATACGCTAGGTATGCGTGACACCCCTTTCTCATCATATTCCTTGCTCTCACGGTGGATATGATACAACAGTTTGATTTGCCTCTATCTCCCTCGAAGCGTAAGGTCAACCCTTCGCCGCCTTCGAGTTCAAGAACCTTCGTGTAGCAATCGACCCTAGCATGATGTTTCTCAAGCCAATCCATCCCGAGGATTGCATCAAACTCGATCATACTCAGCGGTACGAAATCACACGTCAAGTTCTGTCCCTCCACCTCCACCTCACACGATGGATAGTGGCTTTCTCTCTCGATATCATCCCCTAGAGGCGTGGACACCAATAGGGTTTGAGTCATCGGTACAAGTGGTCCGTTGAATCCGCTGGCGAACGCCTCACTCACAAATGATCGTTGCGCCCCGGTATCAATAAGGATCCTTGCTTCTCTCCCGTTTATCTTTAGTGTTCCTACATTCATAAGTAATGTAAGACACACCATCTAATAAATAGGTTCGTTTCTTAAGTCGTAGAGTGTGTTGGTTGTGTTTCGGGTGGGGTCCGTTCGATACCCTCCCGAAATTTCCCGGTTTCTAACCTTTAGGACCGTTTTAGGATCAATCCGGGTGAAAGCCGGCCGCTTTTCACGAAAGTCGGCCGGTTTTCGATTGCGAGAAAAATTCCAAGTTTTTAATCACGAAAGCCGGGCGGCTTTTACGGAAGCCGGGCGGTTTTCGTCGCCGTGGTTTTTATTCAGGGAATGGTTTCGAAGCCGGCCGATTTCTACGAAACCCGGCCGGGTTTCAGCAGCGCAGGAATTTCTAGGCCCGACGAAAGCCGGGCGGCTTTTGCCAAAGTCGGGCGGCTTTCAGCTGCGAGAAAATTCCCAGGTCAGGCCTTTATGAAATCCGGCCGATCTTTACAAAAGCCGGCCGGTTTTTGGTTGCGAGAATTTTACTGATTAAATGATGACGAAAGTCGGGCGGCCTTTGGTGGAAACCGGTCGGCATTCGTCGCCGCAGCATTTTCTCAGTATCTCAAGACGAAAGCCGGGCGGCTTTCGTCAAATGCCGGGCGGCTTTCGTCAAATGCCGGGCGGCATTCGCCCAGGGCGGGGGTTTTTCCTCCCCTTTTCCCCACAATCCCGACCAAACCGTCGGGGTTACAAATTTTGCACCTTACAAACACTCCTATTGCATACAATGGAGTAATATCGTGAGTTTAAGATCTTACCCGCCACGGAGTCCGGGTTAGCACGTGCGTCCGCCTCCGTCATCGCATAAACTCTAGCTTGAGTTCTTCCTTTATTCACGGACTGTGCATTGCTCGTGCTCGCTCCCCCCTGGCCCACACTGGCATGAGGTGCTCCGGCCCGGTTCCTACTTGCTGTGGTAGCGCCGCTTGGTCCCGACCCCCGGTTCCCACCAAGTTGAGGGCAGTTTGGCTTAATATGCCCTGTACTCCCGCATTGGTAGCACCGTGGTGGATCGCGACACTTACCGGTGTGGTTCCTGTTGCAATTCCTGCACCTTGGCGTCATTGGGGCTTGTGAGCCCGAGTAGTGCCCGCTCGTGGTCGGGTTTCCCTTGGATGGTGCTGCCGGTGCCCTGAACGATCCACCTCCCCCGTGGTTCCCCTTCTTATTGGGACCTTGGGGGCCATGGCTTTCCCACTTCCTTTTCTTGGCCTCTTCGGCATCCCTCTTCTTCCTCTCCTCCCATTGTTTTTCTCCCTTCAACCCTTGGGCAACCACTTGGCTGAAAGTCATATTGGGCAATTGAGTTGCCCTATCACGTATCTCCAAGTCCAA